ATCAATTTAAAAAATGCTATATTTTTATTGTCTCGTTCTACATTCGGTTAATGGTATCATGTTTCTTATTTTATATGGATAATATTTGATTGAAATAAAATCTATAAACTTGCTATATATTTTTAATATGCATACGTAAAAAAACATGGATATCTAGATTTTCAAAAGGAGAAGGGGGAAGGGAGGAGCAAAAAAGTATCTTTACACAAAACTTACTGTCTAAATTTCTTGGAGTGAAATCTCACTTCAAAAGAGTGAAAATATTGTCACTATTGAAAAAGAATGGAAATATTTGCACTCTTGAATAAGAGTGGCAGATTTCACTCTTTTTTGAAGTGGGATTTATTCAAAAGGAAAGAAATGTCACTGCTTTTTTTGAAGTGAATTTTATTCCAAAAGTGTGAAATTTCACTCTATAACAAAAACAATGAAAATCTGTTACTCTTATTCAAGAGTGCAAATATTTGCACTCTTTTCAATAGTGCGGCAATATTTTAATTCTTTTGAAGTGAGATTTCATTTCAATAAATTTAGAGAGTACACTATTAAACCTATAGTGTCAAATTTAATTTAATTTAAGTCGCTTTTACTAAATATATATCGTTATTTTATACTAAAACGATAGTTAAATTTGACGTCATATAGTGTCAAATTGACTGTATAGTCAAATATAACCATATTTTAATAAAATAACGATATAATTCCAATAATTCCATATAATTTTGGAATAGAAGCAGTGGCGACTTACATTAAGTTCAATTTGACACACTATAGATTTAATAATATTAAATAGTGAAATACTTATATTAAAGTCAATTTTCGAAGATCTTCAACGAATAACACGCGAACCGTGCACTGGCGTAAATAAATATTTTGTCATAAAAATGATTTTCGCGTAATTTAATTGTTCCTCTTTGCCAAAATTTAGGAGTTAATACAAACGGTTTTCCCGGTTTTCCGTGCATACGCCCATGCATAAAGATATGTTTGGCATGTATATGTAACTTTCGTCTACAGCGAATTTCCGACGATCCAGAGGACGAAAAAAATGGCCTGTATTCCTGTTAGGAATCGAAATACGTTTTCCTATCAGGCATCTCTTCCTCATACGATTTCCGTAGAAATACCGATCGGCAAAGCCAATATCCTTACGTTTCACCAGGAGACTCAGGAGCCGCGACCGGCATTGCAGAATAGTATCGGTAAATCGAGGAATTCTCCGTTTAAGAGATACGAGCTATACGTCGGGCAAGCGACCAAAGAACAATAACACCGAGGAGAATTTTTACTTCCGGCCGGATGCATGCCACCGGCTACGGTGCTGGTGAATTTACATTTTCGTTGGCTGTGCATCGAATCATGCGTTCCTTCCTTTTTTTTCTTCTTCTTTTTCCTTTTTCGCGGCATTCGCGAACAACGCGCGCACGCGGTTCCGGTGATTTGCTTGTATTGAAGCGTAAAAACCGACAGTCGTATACGCGCATGACCAATACACGCGCGACTGGTCGACGAAATTCCAAATAAACCGTCGTTGGAATCCTGATGAGATACGTGTGGGAAAAACAGATATTCTGTACAGTTATATTATTAAGATACGCAGGCCGTGTTTCATTCATATGGATGATAACAAGCAATGTAAGCTTTTTGCCCGATTGCTTGCGATACGGAAATGTAGAATACGAGTTAAATCAGTATTATGTTTTCATGGAAACTGACAATTGATACAACAGCGGAATACAAACTGTGACTTGTGAATAAATTGTAAATAAAACTGTTTTAAATATACATGTAATTAGACATCGAGATCGCTGAAACGATCCCAATGATATTATTAATTTATGAAACTATCTTTTATAAAACATACTGAAATAAGATTCGTAATTACATGAAATATATACATCTCAATGTAATAGTCTCTATCAAACCGTAATTTTTTTTCAGAAGCGTTGGAAATTAATAATAACAGCTGTTAAATTAAATTTTTATATAACGTTACGGGCCAGCTTTTTCTGATGTACAGTAATGAATACTTTAAGGAACAAAAGAAAATTTCTCGGTGAAATATCATATTGTATATCGATGCGTAGTAAAAAAAAGTTGGAATTTTAATATCTTGACTAAACGGTTATTTTTCTTGGCCGGTATGTCTTGAGTCGTGAGAATGAACGATTGATCTTTACGACGCCGACGAGTAAAAGGAAAGTATGAAAATCTCATTGTAGCATCGATGAGGATTAAATATCGTGAATTTTTCTTCGATAATACGCAGGGGCTCACCTCGACGAGCGATCCAGAAGACCAGAAAAATGTAGAAATACGTTAAACGCGATAAAATTTTTTCGCGCGTAAATGTACCCGTTAACGACGTCAAGCGCAACTTCAGAGAGATTGCGAAATAATTCGGATTCCCTAGCAATGAATGCAAAATTATATCAAACGAAGTTCAAAGCGATATAAAATATCCCGCCTTGTTCCGTTCCGGTGTCCGGAGATAAAAAAAAGATCTTTGTAATTTATACGCTCATTTCAATTTAGATTGAAATTAGGACTTTTATTTTGTTTCTCGAAAAATTTGCGAAATTAATGTAAAATTAAATTCCTCTCTCTTGTATACTATATATTGTAACTATCCCTCTTACATTTATTGTAGCATCTACGATCGATTGCTCTTCCGATTTACGTTACACGTAAAATTATGGTGTGTGCCGTTACAATAAATCTGGAAATCACAAGAAATGCGATCATTAACAATAACTGATCGATGTAACTTTCCATAACAATTACTTTTTGTTCGATACACGTATGAACCTGCATACGACATAAACAGTAGATGGAACGATCATAGGATAATATAACGTTGATCTCGGTGAACAGACACAAGGGTTGGTTTAAGTGCGTGTTTAGCGATTGCGATCCCCGATGGCCTTTTCCATGGGACACTAAAGGGCACTAAGGGGCAGTATAAGGCTCGTAAGGAGGAGTGGTAGTAGTGAGAGGTAAACCGTTGCACGTACTCAGACCACAATATAAAATCACTCCGTACAAGCGCCCGACAAAGTATTGTCCGGTTCGATTTTCGACATGTTTCAATACGGAAATCTTTACACAAGTTATAGAATACTGAATCTTAAAAAATATTTTTACAATACATACAATTAATAATACATATGTTGTAACAAAAGTAATTTCTCTACTCAGAATATAAACTTTAATAAATTATATTATTATTAAAATTGATAAATTGAAAAAAATTTTAGCGTTTTAGCGCGCGCGTTTTAGATATTATTATATTAGAATTGAGTAAAAAATTTGAGTTTTAACTTGCAAAATAATAGAAAAATATTTATCAAAGAATTCAGTCGAAGTTAACATGGGACATATTTTGATTTGAATAATAGTTTTAATTTTGTAAAATGAAGAGAGTGAGAGAGAAAAAGTTGTGTGTCTTATTTTTAACTAAATTCGAGAAAATAAAATTAAAATATACTGCATTAATAATTACACTAAATTTATCACGAGAGAGATGAGATAAATAATTTTAAAATAACATGAATAAAAAGAAAACGAGATGCATTTTAAACACACCGAAAGAACGCCTTGCTGGTACGATCGAATTCTTCAATTTGAAACTTGGGAAACGAGATGACGACTATTCGAGTGGTGCGACATATAGTGTGAGACGAGCTGGCGCGGATCCAGAAAGTGCCAATTCAATCTTACTTCCCTTTCCGGATGTAAAATTCCAGGTAGCCGCGTCGAACTTCCGACTTCCGTTGCTCGTTCTGGCTACTGTAGCGTCGCAAGTGTATGTTTCTAGTTCATTCGCGAATATCAACGATATTTTAATAACTTGATTGCCAAATTTATATACTTTGGCGTTCTTCTTCATTTTCTTATACATCTTTTAGATTACCTTAAAATCTTTAAAAAATGTAAAAACCGTTGTAAATGAGATAAGAAGATTTATTTTTTCATGATATGATGATAAAAGATGAAATATATCCATGTTAAAAATAGCACTATCGCATTTATTAATAATGCAGTTTTAATTAATCGTGATGAAGAATATAGCTGATATCAAATAATTTAATCAGATATTTTGGCTAAAAGTGACTAATATTATCATATCCGTTAACGATGATGTAATTTTAATTAATCGTAATGGGGGAAAAATAGCGAGGAAAAATAACATCAAGTAAATTATCAAATTACTTGAAATTTTGATTTCCAGAAATGTAAATTTTTAATATTTTTTTTTTTTATTATTCACAACTGGTTTCATTCAAATTATTAGTTTAATAATTAATAATGATTATCAATTCAATCTATTCGTTGTTTTAAATACGAAAATACATCAAATGTAATACTCAGTATATACATTCATGGTGCCATTAATTTATTCCGCGTACGATAGCAGCTGAGTGAGATGAGTGCGCCAGATGAGAAAATTATTCAAGATCCTCGAAGATATGTATTCCTCTTCGCCCTCGATTTTTCTCTAGCATCCCGCGCTTCGAATTTAATGAGGTCCTTTATTGATGAATGACATTTATCAAAGTATCTCAGTATCATCGAGCCACGTGATCTAACGAGATATCACGTACTCATAATTCTGTGTTAACTCGGTTTTTCAACGGAGATTGAATTTAGAAAATTATGAAATGAAAAGTAAAAAGATACGCCGGTCTTTAAAATTTTAATTAAAAGTCGACTGTGAACAAAATATTGATGTTTAATATTTATCTTAAAACTGTACTGCTCGCTTGTTTTAATAAAATTGATTAAATTTTTAATCTTCGATATTAATGTAGACTGGTATACGCGTAGATTATTGATTTATTAACTCGTATTAGTTGTTTGGCAAGTGCATAATATTTTTATTGTTCCTGTTAATATTAATATAATCTACGAATATAGTTAAATTAATAAAAACAAAAATTCGTTACATATAAATGAATTATAGTATAACAAAACGTAATGTTATTTATTCTTGTACATACCTTGAATGATCCAAGATCTTTCACACTGCATGCCAGTTTGACATTCCGTCCTGCTGGTACTGTGATGTTTCCTATTTCGTCGACAAATTCGGGATCAGGGATGGTGGTAACTGTAAAAAGATAATCAACGTAAAAACATACATTAATATATACATAAAATATAATTTTCTCTAATATGTAATTGAAATCTAAAATATTACCTGCTAAAATTACGAGAAAATTTCTAAACTAACACATAATAATTAATTAAACTCTATATTCGTTTAATTACCTCACAAGTAATAAAAACAAAATTATATACGTAAATACTCAAATCATATTTCATACTCGCGGTAATGCTTTACAGCATATTGTTTGTACAGAGATAGGCCATTATACCACATAAAGTTTTAATTAAATTTTAATTTGGTTGAAACGGGACATCCGTATGTATGACGCCACAATACGACAAAATCTTGCGCTAAATTTACCTGACAAATATGAGACAGTTTCGGGATCTGTCAGACATCGTCGGGTTTTGGAAAGCAGGCAAACTCGATCGACAAAATCCGATACAAAGTTCGACGGCAGAATTTTTTGAAATCACAACGTCAGTGAGTTTCCACGAGTGCGCTAGAGAGAGTATATACTATCCGTATATTCCCGATGTTGCTTTACTTCGGGAAAGGGGATCGATCGATCTAGGGACGGTGTAAGCGTGGCTGCGTGGATGCGCTTTGAGTTATAGAAGCTCACCAGTCGGCGTGACAGCTTAGTTATTGAATACAAAATGCAATTTTTCAAGTCTCTACGTACCGCGGTATCCCGTACCAACGCCAGTCTCCAACCACCGCAACGTCTGGGAAAACGTGGCGGAGGCGAAGGTGCGTCCTTCGCGTGTGCGATGATCGAATCTACGAGAGGATTTCGAGATGCTTATATGGAGATCGAGCTCCCACCCATCTGTCCCGACGCTCGCGATCGCATTTCTCCATCCTGCGTGCTGTTACTTCATGCGTAAGGCTCACATTTGCGTAAGAGCGTCGCGTGTAGAACACGAATTCGTAACTGGTACGTCGTGAAAACGGGTTTATATACGATATCAGTGATATCAGTATATTATTTTACATTAGTCTACTAGTGTTAAATTAGACGTGCGACTTTCATCGACTTATTATTTTCGAATATGCATTGCTTTGTTTATGATTATATATTTTGTCGGAATGTTTTAAGTTTACACATTTATCTTACACAAATGTTGCATTTCTAACATCCAAGTGCTAAAAATATCTGCTAAAAGAAAGAAGCAAAATATGAATTAAAAATCTACAAGGTGCCTACGTACTTTGAGCTATTTTCACAGTAATATTACCTACTTCACATCCAATTTTACTAATAATGTTGCGTTCACTGAACTATGTACAAATGAAAGAGAAGGAATATAAAAAGAACGGGAAGAAATTATTGGGTCGGGACAAAAGTTTGTAACGCTACAAACCTCAAAATTCAAGCAGCTGTAATTTTGTTAAAAGTGAACGAAATTTAAATGAAAAAAAAAGAGTTTTAAAGTTTATACTTTAAAATATCACTGTCTTTTGAGTTTCTGTGAGTTTGATAATTTTTATAGATATATGGAAAATTAGAGCTAGATAAAATGGAAAAGTTTTTTTCTTTATGAGCCTGTCACGTGCCCACAAGACTTACGAAAATTGTCGACTTTCTAACGTGAAAGTTTAAAGCTTTTCATACAAAATCGATTTTTTTTTTTAATGTTTTTAAGATTTTTTTGTTACTGAGTTATCGCGGATTAAATAAAGGAGCATTTGAATCTTGATTCCTTATGTCTTCGCTAAAAATCATTACATATATCATAATTCAAAAAACAGATTTTTAAAGCTGAAACTTTGCTCCTTCAATAATGATATAATTGTTAAATTCTTTAAAACTTAAACATGGTACAAATGAAGCAGCTTTTGTTCCGATTCAGTACATTATATTCTGGAAATAAATTTATTAACATAAAAAATAATACAGCAAAAAAGCATCTAATAAAATATTAAATAGAAAGAAATATGAAAGAAGTGCACAGTGAGAATCAAGAAATTATATATTATACCAAAGTAAAAAGGAAAAAAAGAGAATAAATGAGTGTGTATGTGAAAGAAAATGATATAAGAAGAAGAAAAAAAAAAGGAAAAGAAGAATTTTCAAACTGCATTTAATTGTGTCCGATTAATGTATCACTTATTGGTAAGTCATTTTTTAATAATAAATTTCTTTTACAAAGGAATGCGTTTTGGATGAGGCAGATTTCAACATTTATATGTGTGCGTATGATGAGCCTTTTAAGACTGAATCGAAGTGACTCTCACTTGCCGAGTAACCAAAGTGTACGCTGCTAGAAAATTCTCTTTGGTCTGCTGCCATCAACTTTACTATCTACGGATTCTGGCGGCTGTGCGGTGACACGCGTATGTGGCTTCCAACTGTGGAGAGACCACATTCTCCGAACTCGCTGCTGAACCTTTCTACCTATGTCGTCTGCAATTGCGTTGTACGAAATGGACCGTCTAGACGAGAGATCTTTAAAATCAAAAGTCTCTTGTCAGACCGTCGCTCAGGCGTGACATCGATATTGATATACCTGAATCAGCAACTTTTAAGTAATCTGTTCAGACTTTTGCGAAGGCAGTTCAATTATAGACTTATAATACTAAAATTTTTCTAATCAATGTGCACTTCCTCTTTGCTGAAATATCAAAAATTTAAGTAGTTACAAATTGGAAAATACATAAATTTATTGGACCATTAAAATAATAATGTAGGACACTCAAACTATTTACTAGAATGCTCAAATCTTTTTGCGGCATTGCTCATTATGCTTAAGTTTCCTACGTAATTATTTTGATGATTTGATAAAATTATTTTCAAATCTGTATCTACCTTAATTTTGAAATATTTCAGCAAAATCGTTCTTTTCGTGTAATAATCATGTTCATGTTAAGTGATCACTATTATTTATTGTAAATTATCGTGATATATCCGTTTCATCGATCCTACACAGTTTGCCTATCATAACTCTAACACTATTCTACGAATAGCATAGAATTAAACTTAAACGGAGAAAGAATTGCTTTGTTATTCACATCGACTCCGCCAATAGTATTCTTTTTGCCTTGTCATCTGTCAAACTATTAATTCCGCGATAATTGAAGGCATCAATCGTCGAATGATGGCTATGTCGCGTCTCTCTAATGAGTTCAACGAACCAACCGCTTCGCGAAAAAGACTATTTTTTGCAGACTCTCACAAACGCGGCGGAACACCGTGGGGATAAGAAGCTAGGAGATCAGCACAACTTCCGCTGTATTATTTGCGGAAACTTTAACCACGACGTGTAATTGGAACGGACTCTCGCTTGCGCGCCGCGAGAGCCTAAAGCAGAAGTAACTTACAGAGCGACACAAAAGCGTGCTTATACGCGCGTTATACACACGTATACACACATACGAGCGTTGTCGGGTGGTTTTCATGTGACGCGGAGGTGATTAAAGAGCGGGAGATCTCTTCATTACGGGTCGAGTGCCCGCTCGAATTTTAATTAATATCTGCGGCAAGTCTCCAGTCACGTGTCGCACACTTCAATACTCGCACCAAGTCTAAGAAATTCAACCTGCTAGTAATCACTTTGATCTCCTAATTATGTAATCTAACATAAGAATATTCTACTACATTTCCATTTTTTCTCTCATTTTTTATCATAAAATTTATGAGGTATTTTCGTCTCCATAAAAACTTTATGTGAAATTGTAAAAAAATTATCTTACATTAAAAAATTTATTTTTCCTGCATAATATATATTCGCTCGCAAAAAATCTTTCATTATAACTTTTTTGTAAGTATATATATATATGTATATATATATATAGTATATGATAAATATAATACATAATAATTATATTAAAATATAATAATGTGAATATCAATTGAAAATTGAATGAGAAATATTTATATGATTTCTATTAACAATCAACAAGTAATAATATAGACTTTTGTATAAATTTTTACAATGAAAAATGATCTAACTTGTTACACTGAGAATAAAAAAGTTACCATTTTCATTAAGCATAAATTTTAATTAAATAACGTGCTACATATTATGTTCATGCTACTATATTAAAGAGTCATATAATTAAAAAAGTACGGTATGTAATAATGTATTTGCTGTAAAATATAATGAAGATAGGAGATAATTTTTTCCTTTAATATAGTACATTATATATAATTATGAAAATGAAACTTGTAAATTGAAGTGACAGCAAATAAAATCAGTCAATTCTCTTAAAAGATAGGATAGGTTAGTAATAGAAGTAAGGGAGATAATAGAAAAAGGAATCTTAAGGTTTTTGTATTCGCGACACTATGAGAAATTGCTAACTGGCCAACCTTGTCATTAGACATTAATCTATTATTTCTGGAAAGAGTAATGGAGTTATGCTTCCAGAACTATATAACTCTTATTTTATAACATAATCTTACGGCTAAAAGTCTAGACCGTTTTTTTAGAATAAGGAAAGAAAGGACTTCTAGAAATTTGCATAAGAAAGAATAACTCTTGACACTCGCGTGTCTGAACTTTTACAGGACGTATGAAGCAATTTAAAGTCATTAAGAAATCAAATTTTTAATACAAATCAAGATCTATGTAATATCAAATTTAAACAAGATATATTAAATCTAAATTTATCTCAAAAAAATGATTCAACTCAAAGGATTAATTTAAAGTGGAAAACTATTTTTCAATTTGACAAAAAATTATTGACTAATCAAATAATATCAAAAAGTATACATTCTTAATATACTCAAATGCTATTTATCATTTTCGTTCCACAACTCTTAGATCTTTTTTGAATTGTGATGATTTTTACGAAGTTAATTCTACCCTTAATGATTAATAGGGTAATATTTACTTAACTCATTCATGCAGTAATTCGAAAATCACGTTTTTTGAGATGTGTCATTTTTGAAGTAGGAAGCGTTGTGTTAACTTGGATCGGGGAAAATTTGATAATAGTTTCAAATCTGTTTTTTACGAACATCTCAATGCCTTTATCGTCGCTATTAGTAACAA